TTTTAACATAGTAGGCTAATTGGAAGAAGAAAAAAAACAATACGCACGACAGTCCGTTTTTGCATCGCCAATGCTCGTTAGATCAAAAAATAATGTCATCATATGTCATAAGAATTTTATGTGAACCTGCCTTGTTACTAACCTGGCCCTTGCCAGATGAATTTCGCTCCGCCTAGCTTCACTCACATCCATCTGGAACCGATCCATTGAAATGGCGTTTCAGAAGGCTGGGCCTTATCAAAAATCCTTGCATATGATTGGATAAGCCACTTGTCTGTCATCTTTATCGACGTGCTATTTCAACCACTCACACCGAAGCCAACCCGTGACGCTGAAGAATCCGGTCGGGAGAAGGCACTGATCTATATAACATCGTTTCCACCAACAAAAGCCTTAAGAGCCGTTCTCTGATGTTCTTTTAATGAAACAATATTAGGTAGATTGGACAACACGGATGAAATCAATGTTAACAGCATCGGATGAAATCAATGTTAACAGCATCAATGTTAACGCTTGTTTCCTCAATGCGAGCCGCCATTGTTGTCTGAATCAAAACAGTCTCACGGTCGCTTCTCCACTACGTCACATCTATGAAACTCCCGCCCTGCGTCCTGATTGGCTAAACCATAAAGTTGGTTGGAGAAATCACTCTCAATGGAAGAGGTTCCAGATGGATGTGAGTGAAGCTAGGCGGAGCGAAATTCATCTGGCTAGGGCCAGGTTACCTTGTTACTGCAATAGCCTCATTTTTAAACAAATTAGTTTCAATCAATGTAAACTATACGTGTGATTATGCCACTGCGCAATACACGCGCAATACACACACAATGTATTACCTGAATGAAATGAAATCGAATGTATCGTCCTGTGGAATCATTCATTCACAGACAGCTTACGAAGATGTTCAACTAATAAAGATCTTCATCGCTGGCAAAAATATGATGCATTTGCAGATTTGCATTCACTAGACTAGACTGTAGATCGGCCACTTCATCCAACGCTCTTGATGCTCTTAAATCTTCCTGTTTCGACTCCGAGTGTGAATTGAAAGCGCTTCAGACGATTCAGTGTGTGAGGAACTGAACAGATCAACTGATTCGCGAACCGATTTAGACAGATCATCTGACAACTTGTTTGATGAAGTCTTTGAACAGAATCGACTCAAAAGAGTGATTCATTTGTAAATGAGCATCGCTCATGCCCATACAAGGACACAGCGCGCTTGGAATAAACTCATTTAACAACGTATTGCATTAAAATAAAGTAACGAGACGTCGCCCAACGTAACAAAGTAAAAGTACACCTTGTGTCCCTGACAGGAAAATACCCTACTGCGCGATCTAGAAGAGTCTCACGTTAAGGCAGCACGTTAACGCCGATAACGGCCCAGCACTAGTGTAAATATATATATATATATTAGGGCTGTCAACTTTAGTCGTTTAGTCGACTAATCGGTCGATGCCGTCTTGGTCGACTGACTTTCTCATTGGTCGACCAGTTGCATTTTTTTTTTTTACCAATAGAAATAAATTTTCATTGATTTACTCCTTGATATTTATTCCTTTTATAAGCAGTTACATATTACTGTATTAATTAGCCTATGTTTTATCCCCAACTTTAAATGCTGTAATTTAGGCTATTTTGTAACAGCGCGACAGTTTAGCGCACACACGTAGAGCACTCGGGAACCGCACCTGTGGCTGGCTGCGCTGCTGCTGCGGCGCGGACGCGCTTGGAAAAAAACGAGCTTCCATTATGAGCGCACATACCATGGGCCTACATTTGAAATAACGAACTTGAGCGCACAAAAGGCGCAATATGTGAGCAGGCCCTTTAACGGCTTTATTATGCTATGACTCAATAGATTGTGTTTTCTTATGTTTTTATTTGTACACTTGACACGTTTGAAAATAGCCTAAATAATGTAAAAAAAAAAGATAAAACTATATGCCTTCCTAATACAGACTAGTATTATTAGGATTGTTTTTTTAGGCTATTTGTTTTTTTTGTGTGTTTGTTTTAAAACGCCTAGATCGGCTGGACAAAAGTTAACCCATAGCTTCGAAAGTAAAGAAGAATATACAGCCTGTATAAACGAGAGCTTTTGTTTTGTTAGGATTTTTCATTATTTGGCTGCTAAAAGTTAAATTTTTTGTAGTGTGTGGTGTGGTCAGGTGCGCGATTGTGACTGTCACTATAGACCTAGGACAGAGCTCCTCACTTTGCAGTTAAAAAAAAATCACTTAATTTTCAAAGAATTGTATTATTATTATAGTTTTATGTATTATTGATGTTTTTTCGTTGTTGTTTTATAAATGCTCTATGACAATTGTTTAATACATGTTCAATCAAAATGCAAAACATCGCGTTTTTTTATTTATTTATTTATTTCAGTCGACTGATCGTTGCGCAGGACAGGACTTTGGTCGACTAAGGATTTCTTTGGTTGACTACAGCCCTAATATATATATGTGTGTGTGTGTGTGTGTGTGTGTGGAATGCTTAATATCAGGCTCGATGTAATTTGACTTGATTTGTGATTTAATTACGATTTCATTTAATTGATTCGAGTACTCGAATTTTCATCTATGTATACTATGCATCTCTGCTGCAAGCTAAACCACAACAGTGGCATTTGTATTTATTTATTTTACATGTGGATTTTTTTGCTTTGATTGTAGCTGCTGTCATGAAATGGGACCCAGCTGCTACAGAGGCCCAAGTAAAGTCTTCTGCATCTCATCATCTGAAACATGCCTGTTTGGTGGTGGCTATAAATGAATAGCTTTATTGTGCCTATTGTGGACCTTATAGCAGCCACATTTTGTTAATTGTTTATTTTATTTATAACTTTACTAGGGGTGTCACGATTCTCCAAATCCTCGATTCGATTACATTTTCGATTCTAAGGTCACGGTTCGATTCGATTCTTGATTTTTACATTTATTTTTTTAAAGCCGAAACCGGCCAATCAGGATGCTCTCTGTCTTACATGCGCTTCATGAGGCACCCACGCAAGGTCTCTCGCTCTCTCCCTCTCTGCCGTGGGCGCGCTATACGGTTTGGAGCACAGTTTTTTCTGTCTCCCATGCTCGCTCACTCTAGATTCCGGGAGTTTTAATTAATTTGCAGGCATCAGGGAGCTGCTATCAATATGCGGGAGACTTGGGATGTCTGCAAACTGTGGCTTTTTCATCGACGATTCCATTTTTTAATTCGATGTTCGAGATTGTGAATTAATTTCGATCGATTTCGATTTAAAATCAAAATCGTGACACCCTTAAACTTTACTGTTCTGGCTTTTAAGTTTTATTATGTTATCGTGTTAATTTATACTTTACTGTTCTGGTTTTAAGTTTGTGTAAAATTGGTAATAAAAATATATTTTGAGATTTAAATAATTGATTTCTTGGAGTGATCAGTTTGGTTTACAGGAAAATGGTAAGCAGTTTATTACAATTATATTGATAAGATATAAAAATGCAAGACTAGTATATAGACTACACAGTTATTCAATTGAATATTCAATATTATCAATATTCTTTAAAATCTAATTTAGGTCTGTGTGTCTGCAATTTCATGACACGACAACCATTAACAATGAGTAATTGGGTTTTTCTCAGTGAAAACTAACTCACTGACACTGTTTTGAAGTAAACATTTTTTAAAGTAGGATCCTTGCAAATATGCACAGATGGGATTACCATGTCAGTATGGGTCTTGAGCAGTCTTTGACATTTCTACTACAGAAAATGTGTCTAATACAACTTTTATTCTGGCTGCGTTTAGATGTCTTAACAATTATGTCTGTAGCACGTCTTTAATTGACGTCTAAACGTCTTTAATTGACGTCTAAACAATGTCCTGAAAAGACGTATAAAAAACTTTATTCTGGCTCCTATGAGGACGTCTTCTGGATGTCTAACAATTACGTCTGTAGCACGTCTTTAATTGACGTCTGAACAATCTCCTGAAAAGACGTATAAAAACCTTCATTCTGGCTCCTTTGAGGACGTCTTCTGGATGTCTAACAATTACGTATTTTAGACGTCTTTAATTGACGTCTGAACAATCTCCTGAAAAGACGTATAAAAAACTTTATTCTGGCTCCTATGAGGACGTCTTCTGGATGTCTAACAATTACGTCTGTAGCACGTCTTTAATTGACGTCTGAACAATCTCCTGAAAAGACGTATAAAAACCTTCATTCTGGCTCCTGTGAAGACGTCTTCTGGATGTCTAACAATTACGTATTTTAGACGTCTTTAATTGACGTCTAAACAATGTCCTGAAAAGACATATAAAAAACTTTCATTCTGGCTCCTGTGAGGACGTCTTCTGGATGTCTAATAATTACGTCTTTTAGACGTCTTTAATTGACGTCTAAACAATGTCCTGAAAAGACGTATAAAAAACTTTATTCTGGCTCCTATGAGGACGTCTTCTGGATGTCTAACAATTACGTCTGTAGCACGTCTTTAATTGACGTCTGAACAATCTCCTGAAAAGACGTATAAAAACCTTCATTCTGGCTCCTGTGAAGACGTCTTCTGGATGTCTAACAATTACGTATTTTAGACGTCTTTAATTGACGTCTAAACAATGTCCTGAAAAGACATATAAAAAACTTTCATTCTGGCTCCTGTGAGGACGTCTTCTGGATGTCTAATAATTACGTCTTTTAGACGTCTTTAATTGACGTCTAAACAATGTCCTGAAAAGACGTATAAAAAACTTTATTCTGGCTCCTATGAGGACGTCTTCTGGATGTCTAACAATTACGTCTGTAGCACGTCTTTAATTGACGTCTGAACAATCTCCTGAAAAGACGTATAAAAACCTTCATTCTGGCTCCTGTGAAGACGTCTTCTGGATGTCTAACAATTACGTATTTTAGACGTCTTTAATTGACGTCTAAACAATGTCCTGAAAAGACATATAAAAAACTTTCATTCTGGCTCCTGTGAGGACGTCTTCTGGATGTCTAATAATTACGTCTTTTAGACGTGTTCTAGACGACTTTTTGCTCGCTGGGCAGTAGAATCCTTTGTAAGCCATTTCTTCCTTGTTTGCTCCTCCTCTGTGAGTGATGGGTGAAGACAATGGTATTCTAAGCCGCCATCCTCCTCCCATCTATGAACACCACAAACGTGGTACTGCAGTGATGTCCAACGCCGCACACATTCCTGAAAAAAAAAAAAAAATACAGTAAATTTTTTTATTTATCCGGTCACATTTAAAAAAATAATAATACCCTAATTATTTTGGTATGAGACAATGCCTTCGGCCTAACAAAATATGTTTTATGACATATTCAATACACAATATTTACAAAAGTATGTCATGTCAACCAGTACACAATGTCATTGTTACCTCCTCATCATCATGGCTTGAGCTGCAAGACCAATACAGGTGATTGCTGATCGATCGGATCCATGGCTGCAGCACTCTGTTTTCGGCTTTATTTGAAACCTTCACAAGCTTCTTCTTTACACCTAGGATCACCAACAACAAAATGATGAAGAGAGGGGGTGAGGGGGCCATTTTCAATGTCATAAACTACAAACATTAAAATGTGTTTGTGTTATTGTGTATTCATATTGAAGATGTGATACTTACTCTTATTGACATGCCACGAGTCAAATTCATGCCTTATGTTTGTGTAGTTGTCATTGATTATTTTCCGAATGGATGGAGATCTGTCTGTTGTCATGACTCCAACATCCACTCCCTTGGAGATCAGGTGGTCCAGGCCTCTCTGAAACCCCATTGCCTCCATTGCTACAGAACTGGATGCTTCTGTAACCTATAGTACAACATTATCTTATTTGTCATAATATGTGCATAGTTCCAAGCAACCAATTGCTTTGTCATAGCCATGCTAATGTCATTATAGACAAGAATAATGCTTTCTTATTTACCTGGACCAACTCATAATGGACAATTTCTTTAGAGACATCATCTTGGAAAGAGTAGGTCGAATATTTACTGCTGAAACCTGTTGAAAAAAAAAAAACATTTACCTTCATAAATATAAATGTATAAACATGTTTAGTAGTCCAACCAAAGTTCAATTAGTGATCCTGTTTACCTGGACTGTCACACCGCGCATCGCCACATAAGTCAATCCTCTCTCCTGAGGCAGACAGCTGAGTGAGTCGCTCCATTATTTTTTGCTGTTGATCTTTGTAGGCATAGTTTACGACAGGAATTAGATATGCAGATTGTATGTTGTAGTATTGTGTTTTTGCAGGAATCTGAATGTTCATCAGATCCGCCCAGTCCTTTATGTCAGTGTATGATGCTCCTGTAAACAGTGTCGCCGCACAGGTCAGGAGATTGTTTCGTCCCATGTCTCTTTGGTCTGGACATGATGCCCACTCCCCTGAATGTCCACGCAGGCATGTCCAGTAGATTTTAAGTTGGCTGGCTCGTGTCACCATCCTTTTATCTTCAATTAGTGTACCACATGTGTGGCAGGTCTTGAAGAGCTCCAGCAAGTTGGACTCATCCACTATCCACTTTTTTCCGGCCCATCCATTGGTTTTCCCTTGGTCAGAAGCATTGCCCGAACCTGATTCTTGGCTGGAAGGAGTAGTGTCACTCAATGGCTGAAAGCTTGCATCAACAGGATCTTCCATCTCCATCTCCCCAAAGCTAACACTCATATCATGAACAGATGCTTTTGAACCTTCATCCATGTCTTCCTGTTCGTATGACATGTTATAGTTAAATAAATAAATAAATAAAATAATCAAACTTTTACTTTGGATTGGACTGACATTATCACTAAAGCCACGAGTGCTTAAAAAATACAGGAAGCCATTCAACTCACTTGTGACATAGCTCCACTGCCTGCATGGATAGGACTCCAATGTGATATTGATCCTGCACCCTTATACAGGCAATTTTAGAAAAAGTGTTACTTCATTGTTGCCATGGGTGAATGTCAACACTACTTAAATATCAACCTGATGTACAGTTTACCTCTGACAGTTGCCATGTTGGAGGCAGTGCAAGATACATTCCAGAGGACGTTGGTGTTGTACGTGGCCTGACTGTAGCATGCTCAGGAGTTGATAGCGAAAGTCTAAAAGCTGGTGGTTGACCAGACCTCCGTGACTGAGCTGCTACTGTGTGCTGGAACCTCTTTGGTGTAGACTGTGGGAGTGCAGCTAGTTCTGATGTATTTTCGTGAGTACAGGGTTCAGAACCACTTGCCTAAAATATATATAAGTACATTCATCAGCACACACATCCTAACGCACTAATAATATAAATCATTGCTAATTAAACAAATGTACGCTACACATAACAAGATACTATAGATATTGAAAAACACCACAACTTATTACAGGATAAAATAATAATAATAACACTACATTTTATTTAAAAGGTCCTTTTATGAACCAAATGTTCACTTCATTAACAAAAGTTGAAATTATAGTCAGATCCTAAAAATAAAAAATATAAGTCAGTCAGTCCATGAGCAATCTTGTATAAGTTTTAAATCCGTTTTTAAAAACAGTAATTGAGTCATAGTGTTTGTTGTGGTGGTCTGTACTGGCATACATGCTCTTGTTTAGCTACCAACTGCGACCAACTGCGTCAAACCCCCAAATAAAGATCAAATTCACACATTACCTCATCCAAATTATCAGCAACAGGTCTTTCGGCTCTTGGTACAGCACTTTTCTTGAGGTGATTTCTTCTGGGAGGGTTGGAGGCTCTTCTGGATAAGATGAAGTCGTCCCTGTCGAAATGTTTACTGCAGACGCGGTAGTCCATCTCTCGAAGCGTTTCTACCGGTGTTTCGACATCAACATGTAATACAACCAGCCACTGCTTCAACATATCACTATTGTGCAGAGGAAGTCTGTGAAAACTTTCCGGATTGTAGCGTTTCATTTTCTTATCGCAGCCGGGAAAAGCACAAACACGAACCATTTTCTTCTCTTCAATATGTACACGTAGCCTTCTGTTCGCGCTCACCTTATCACAACTTATAGCTCGTTCACATCTCACCAGCGCACTTGGATCGGCGTTCGTAGATCGACTGGTAGAGACTGTTATTCAAAGATGGCTCCTGCCTGTATACGCGAAGTTGACTGTATGTATAACATATCTTCTTATTAAACTGTCTGGACACTGACAAAGTTCTCAATGCTTCGGTTTGAAGGTAGGGACCCTCATTATGCTACCGTGTTAGTGTGGGGCTATTTTGAGCCTTGTTAGTGGTATTAACAAGCGATTTGTATTTGTCATTACTCTGTGCCCAATATACTAGCGTTATACTAGCAATATAGGCTAAACTGTTTTTAGAGATAAAACTATTTACATTCGATAATCGAGAAAACAAATCTCAGATAACGGTTGACTAGGTAATAATGTGTAATTAGACCAAAGGTTCATTTTGCGCCGGAGTTCTCCTTTAAGGCCTTTAAGCACATAAGGCAATTTAGTGAGTTTTCTGAGTTTTTGTTTAGGATTTATGGGCTTTTGAGTGTTTTTTTGCCATACCCATTTTCTAAATGATCCTGTTTTTTGACCATTATTGATTTAGAGAGTCCAGAGAATTGTACTACACTGGTTTGGTTCTGATCGGGCAAAAAACCTAGGACTAGTATGCAAAAGTATGTTTTTAACAGATTCGCAAGTATTTAATGAACAAATTGATTGACAGCAGTAGTTCTTGAGGCAAAGATGTTCAGTATGAGGAGATCTAACAAATGATATGCATCACATTATTACAGAGCCGTAAAACTCGTTAGCGCCAACTAGTGGATGATGATAAACTCTGACAAAAATATGATTGTGTTATGATAGTGATTTTCATGCAAGTAATTTTATATTGTCTTATGAATTCGAAAGCTGAACCCAATATACATGTCCGTCTTGAGCCAGGGATCACAGTGATGTAAGACACTTGAGACTAGGACAAAGCGTCTAGGAGTTATGCACAATCTTGTACTTTTGGTTGCTGTAGCGCCACCTACTGACCAATCGGGTCATACTTTGATAGGTTCTCCCTAAATTGAGAACTACCATCTGGCCGAGTTTCAAGTCTCAAGGCCTTACGGTTTGGTCTGCATGATGCGTTTTAGGGGAGAAAAAAATAATAATTAAAATCCTAACAATTCCAATAGGTTTTCAGTACTTCATGCTTGAACCCCTAATTACTAATCACCTTTTACTAAAGCTTTCTTTGTGCTTGCCTGTTTTAGTGTAATTCAGTCCTTCTGTTTGAAATACTGCATATCATAAAGTATTTAATCACATCAAACTCAATTAGACTGGATCGGACTGAACGACATCAGACCACATTAGACTGGATCGGACTGAACAACATCAGACCACGTTAGACCGGATCTCAGTCCACTGGACCTCGTCAGAAAAAAACAGGAATTTTATTACAATCAATGAGACTTTGTAGAATGTTTTACTATATATGTATTTTCTTATTATCTGATGGATGAAAATCCATATATATAAACAGACAAATTGCCCTCTAATTTTACTGTTTTCACTGTATGTAAAATCTTAGCAAGTCCTTTGATGTTCTAGACCAGGGTTTCTCAATCTCGGTCCTGGAGGGCCACTGTCCTGCAGAGTTTAGCTCCAACCCTGATCAAACTCACCTGAGCAAGCTAATCAAGGTCTTCAGGATCAGTAGAAACTCACAGTAGGTGTGTTTGATCAGGGTTGGAGCTAAACTCTGCAGGACAGTGGCCCTCCAGGACCGAGATTGAGAAACCCTGTTCTAGACCCATTTCACTGAAACAAATGAAAAATGTGCTTTTTTAGTGATTCTGGCATTTCACGGATGCGTTCCGGAATGCCGTGTTTCTTCCTGGATCGAGCCCGTATCTCTGCGGTTCAGAGGTGTTGATGACTTCTCGAAGACTGGAGGATAAAGAGGCAATGGCCGTTCAGTGCCTCCTTATATAGCGGGAAATCCCACGAGCCGAGACTCAAACTCGGGCCGCCAGAAGCAAGCCTGAGCACTGATCACGAGGCCGTCTGCACTGACATGATTTTACTTTCCATGTTACATATCAGGCCATAACTTAACTCCTATTATTTGACAAATACAGCTTCAGGTAACAAGCATATCAAATTTCATTGTGTCATTTTTTAATTAATTATTCAAAAGAAATATCATGTTGCAAGCAAATACACCCTTCTTGCATGTTGTTAAAATAGTTTCAAACAAAGACAAACCAGAAATATATATATACTGTATATATATATATATATATATAGCTGCGAGCAGCGATGAAGGGCCAAAGCCGGCGGTACCGCCACCCTGGTGCCTTTAGGGTTATTGTGCACAACGTGACACAAAATATCTGCTCGCTATCTGCCGAACGGCTCTGGTAGTTTCGCTTCAGCACTGATGATGTTGTAGAAATAGTGCGCTCTGGTTGGTCTGGATTATTCGGGATTTTTTATTTTATACAGAAATAAGTTATTTATAATTCAGATGAGAATAAAGTTAGTGTTGATTAAAATGAAGGAAAACAAATATATTGATCTGAAATATAGCACATTAATTTGAAATTTATTTAGGTTCAAAAACCAAACATACAATCTTAATTGAATTTAAAGCAAACAATACATTTAAAATATATGGGTTGTATGCACATTTTTTTTTATAAAAAAAAAGATATATATCCAAAAAGACAAGGCCTTAAAGGGTTAAACTAATAAGCACTTTGAATATTCTAAACAGAATAAGCACTAGTCGCTAATGAATAAGTACTAGTACTTAATGGAATAGATACTAGTATCTAAAAAATAAGTACTAGTAGCATGAAAATAGAGACTAGTAGGTTAAAATGATTAAATGTTAAAACGGCTTGCCATATTGGCTCAGAGAGAGAGAGAGAAAATGACCTTTTAGATACTAGTACCTATTAATAGATACTAGTATTTATTCAATAAATACTAGTACTAAGTCATTAGATACTAGTACCTATTAAATAGATACCAGTACTTATTCATTAGCAGTGTTGGGGAAAGTTACTTTGAAAAGTAATGCGTTACAATATTGCGTTACTCCCTTAAAAAGTAACTTATTGCGTTACTTAGTTACTTTTTTAGAAAAGTAATGTGTTACGTTACTTTTGCGTTACTTTTTTTCCACCTGGGCTGGGCTTGTTTTTTTATACCAAAAAATATATATTTTTGGGCAAATGTAGAGACCCTTTCACACTAAAAGTGAAATAATAAGCATCAGACTGAAGGAAATGCAGATTTACTCCTGTACAGTTGAGTACAGTAGTGTTCAGTAGAGGGCATCGCTCAAACAAACCTTTCAGCTGCTGCTGTTCTGGGTAATAGAAGAAGAGGATGCAGGAGAAACAAATTTAACACTTACTTTACCAATAAAAACATATAAAAAAATCTATAGTCGTTTTTGCTTATGGTTTAACTGAAAAATCGGAGCTCAGAAGCAAGTACTTTGGTCAATAAAGATTAAATGCATACAAATTTGTTTTATTTAACATATTTAGGTATTGGAGGTTTGCATAGTGTTCTGATTCTGCATTTCACTGATTTTATTCATTTTGAGGAATATTGAATCTTTTTTGTGCAAGTGAGATGAGTAAATCCACGCTTACATTTAATCTAGAACTATAATAACCATCATGTTTACACACAACGCCTCTGCACTTCCATTTGTCTCAACATTAGGACAGAAGAGCTGTCAGTCAATAAAGGGGAAAACAAAGTAACTTGCGTTACTTATTAGAAAAAGTAACTCAGATATTTTGTTGTAAATTTTAAAAGTAATGCGTTACTTTACTAGTTACTTGAAAAAGTAATCTGATTACGTAACTCAAGTTACTTGTAATGAGTTACCCCCAACACTGTTCATTAGCTACTAATACGCATTCAAAAGAATATCTAAAGAATAAGCACTAGTATCTAAAGAATAGGCACTAGTACTAAAGAATAAGCACTAGTCGCTAATAAATAAGTACTAGTACTTAATGGAATAGATACTAGTATCTAAAAAATAAGTACTAGAAGCATGAAAATAGAGACTAGAAGGTTAAAATGATTAAATGTTAAAACGGCTTGCCATATTGGCTCAGAGAGAGAGAGAGAGAAAATGACCATATTCAAACCACCATATTCAACTTCCTCTTGGTCTGAGCTAATGACAGTTAATTAGAAAGTTGTCCGGCTTGATCTGAACAATATGTGTACCGAGTTTTATGATTGTAGGTAAAACTATAAAACTTCCCCCCCCCCCCCCCCCCCCCCCCCACTTTTGTCAAAAGGTGGCGCTACTGAGTCCCTGCACCACACCTGTTTCTGAAACTTTGCACATGTCTACTGGCTAATAAATGTGATCTGTCTGTCGAGTTTCATGCAATTTTAAGCAATTTCAGGCATGCTAAGAGTCTCAAAAGCATCCAAAAAGAATATTAAAGTTTGATGCGTTGCCATGGCAACAGTATCTAAGACATCAATAATCCTTTCACAGGTCTACATCTGGCGTGTGTCTACATTATACACATAAAGTTTGAAGCAAATCGGGTAAAAATAAGAGGGTGATTTCAAAGCATTTTGAAAGTGACACACTTCCTGCTGCCAGTTGGTGGCGCTATAACTTTGACTCACAATAGTCACATCCATGTGATCGGCCTCTTACAGCGAACATACTGCTGAAGTTTCATCAAGATCAGTTAATGTATGCAGAAGTTATAACACACTTCCTGTTTCCATTATTCGCCATAAATTCGTTTCCTCGCCACGGCCAAACCGTTCGAGATATCAAAAATTCCCTGGCAATTTTTCATCCTCAATGTCTTGACATCATGCTGACCGAGTTTCGTTGCGATTGGTTGAATTCTCTAGAAGGAGTATATCGAATTCCAGGGGCATACGCTTCCAAACAAACCATAATA